AGTGTCTGGCACATAGTAGGAGCTTAACAAATGTTTGTTGACTGACTGACCAACTGTTCCTTGAATTCAGAGTTCTAGCTCAAATCTCCATGTGTTTTCACAGACTCTCCCTTGTGCCTGGAATACATTTCCACCTCTTGGACCCCTGGGCACCTAGGGTGTTGTAAGTGGACAGAATTCTGGGCCTTAAATTAGGAAGACCCAGTTCAAATCCGTTTTCAGACAGATACTAGCTGTTTGACTCTAGACAAATCACTTCACCCTCTTTGTCTCAGTTTCCTCACCTGTAAAATAAGAATAATAATAATAGCACCTGCCTCCCAAGGTTGTTGAGAAGATCAAATTAGAGAATAATTGGAAAACACTTAGCACAATGCCTGGCACTATAGAACTGTTAGCTGCTGTCATTACTAGTACTGCTGCTGCTGCTCCTTGCTGTTTGGGAAAGCCTTTCCTGATTCCTTCAGGTGTGAGTATTTTCTCCCTTCTCAAATTGTCTTGCATTGACATTGTCTCCCCCTTCCACAGTATATAAATTCCTTCAGAATGGACATTTTTTCCCATTTTGTCTCCATCCTTCTGTCTCATTTATAGTAAGTGCTTAGCCAGCACTTGACTTCAGTAGAGTGAGACAGTGTATACTGGATTTGGAGTCATAATCAGCTGACGCGCTTATGGCTTGCCCCTCTGCCCCACTGGAGGACCAAGTCCAAATGCTGGCCTTGGCTCTGGGTATCTGTGTCACATTGGGCCTCATTATCCCCAGAAGTGGCTTGGACTAAGGGCAATCCCGATGCTAAATCTCACCTAATACCATGGTTATTAATTATTGGAAAGATTGGGTAAGTAGTAGAAAGGGGATTCGCTCGGTTCAGCAGGAAGGCAGAAACAGTGGACCCAGGCTCTCTCCCACCGAGCTGGGTTTTAAGGAACAGGCCAGGTGACTTCACGGAAGCCTTTGCATCATCTAGCCCTCCCCCCCCTTCAGTAAGTTCCAATAAGAAGCAGGTAATGATGCGGAGGGAAGAAAGCAGGACCACAAGTATGTACACCGTGACTACGATGATGGAAATGAAAAAACTAAAGACATCAGGAAAAGGCAGCTAATGGTTCTGGGGAGCAGTCAATGAAACACTTCGCTGCATACGATGCCGCAAACAAGGCTGCATTGGTTTTGCCGTGTGTGTGTGTGTGTGTGTGTGTGTGTGTGTGTGTGTGTGTGTGTGTGTGTGTGTGTGTGTGTGTGTGTGTGTGTGTGTGTGTGTGTGTGTGTGCGCGCGCCCGCGCGCGCGGTCCTGAGGTTGGTAACGGGAGGATTGGACGAGGCTCGCCTCAGTTTGCCCACATGTAACTAAGGTAAAACTGGTGGGGGGGGGCGGGGTGACAAAAGCGGGTGTCCTCAGGGATCTATGAATGCGCAGGCTTGGGGACAGCAGGGAAACGGCAGCTCGAACGAAGATGATTCCGCCCCGGGGGGGTGGGGTCCGCCGTTACCGGAAGTCCCACCTCCTCACCCTGCCCCATCCGCCGACCGGAAGGGAGAGGCTAGTGTGGCCACGCGTAAGAGTCAGAGGCAGCTCTCCAGTCCCAAGCACCGTACACCCAGAAGGAAGCTGCCTCTGCGCAGTCGCAACGGCCCCACCCCTGCGCAGTCGCGCGAGCGCGCACCAACGAGACTCGAACTCCTCCCGGCTAGCCTAGAGCGGCCCCGCCGGAAGTGCTCCTTTCTCTTCCACCGGAAGTTCTTGGCGCCGCTCTTTTCGGGGCTCCAGCGCTTTGCCGGGCCGCGTGTGGCCTGGGTCTGGAATCTGAGCGGGCAGGCGTGTGGGAGCCCCTGCTCCCAGTGCTCCGGTGGGCTGACTTCTGGCTCTCCTCGATCTCCTGCTTCTCTTACGACATTAATTTCCCCCTCTGTAAAATGACAGTATAACACTAGGTGGTCTTTTCTGGAGACCCTGGGTTCTAGGCCAGATTACCTGGCTCTTTGATCGGACAAGATCTCTGTGCCTCAGGTCAAGTTAGGATATAGAAAATGAGACACGGGGCAGCTAGGTGGCATAGTGGATAGAGCACCAGCTCTGGAGTCAGGAAGACCTGAGTTCAAATGCGGCCTCAGACACATACTACTCACTAGCTGTGTGACCCTAGGCAAGTCACTTAATCCCAATTGCCTCACCCCAAAAAAAAAAAAAGAATCTGAGACACGCTGAGTCACAGCATTAAAGCTGGAAAGGCCCATGGAGTCCACCTCTCGTTTCATAGAGAAAAAGCCCAGGCCTAGTAGGGAGAATTAGAGAATTGTAATTAGAAGTTATAGAGGAGTAGAGAATAAAGGGCACCTTGGGGAGTACTTTATCCAGACCCTTCATTTTTGCAGAGGGGGAAATGAGCCCAAATACAGAGTTTAAGTGCTTTGTTCAAAGTCACATAAATGAAGGTCAAAGCCAGCATCCCAACACAGAGCTTCTGACTCCAAATCAGCATTGTCCCCATTACTACAGAGGTTCCTATCCTTTTTAAATAACCTTTTTAAATGTCAAAAAGTGTCTTGGACCCATATGTGATAATAATGGCTGCTTGTACTGTGCACTGAATAAAATCTTGAGTCAAATCTCGTTGTGTGACCTTGGGCAAATCACTTATGCTCCTGGGGCTTCAGTTTCCTCACCTGCAAAGTGGGGGTCTGTGCTGATAGTGAATACTAGCTGATATTTATATAGCACTTTACATGTTACATAATCCTAACAACCCTGGGAGGTGGATGCCATTGTTACCTTCTATTACAGCCTGAGAGAGGGAATGTGACTATCCCAGGGTCACACAGCTACTGTCTGAGATAGAACTTGAGCTTAGGTCTTTCTGACTCCAAATCCAGCACTCTTATCAACCACACCACTTAATTGCCTAAAGAGACACAGATGAATGAACTGGCAGTACTTGGTTCAGATATATTTTTTAAAAAAGCTAACATTTGTATGTGCCAGATGCAGTGCTAAGTGCATTACAATTATTATGTCATTTGTGACCCACAACAACCCTGGGAGGTAGATGTTATTATGATTCCCATTTTATAGATGAGAATACTTAGGCAGACAGGTGAAGTGACTTACCCAAGGTCATATAGCTAGGGAGTGTCTAAAGCTGAATTTGAACTCAAGTCTTCCTGACTTCAAGGAACCACCAAGTTGCACTTGCCTATCCGACAAGGTTTGGGGGTGCTGGGACCCCAAGAATGCCAAAACAGAGTTGTCTGGAATGAATTCACACACTCAAGCCTTCTCTTAGTCAAGTGGCAAAAAGTTTATTGTAACACTTTAGCAAAAGCACGCAAGGGTCCTTATAGAACCTTTGAGAGAGAGTGAGGGGGCTTATATGGAAAAGGGCATGGGAAAGGAATGCCAGAAATGTTAATTAGGTAGTCTAGGGGTCTAGGTGTCTTTGGAAGCTGTGGATGGGAAAATGTAGGGAGTATACCAGACATTGAGGGAGTTGTCAGAGGCATGGACCTTGGGGATCTGGCTGGAGGAAAGTCCTTGGGCCAGCCAGGGACAAAAATCCTTGGGCCAGGCACCCCTCTGTCTGTTCTGATGAGAGAATGTGTTCTGCAACAAGAGAAATTTCCTCACAGGACAGGGGCCTACTGAGAAATTAAGAGGCTTCCAGAGACATGATCTTAAGGCTGGGGCCAGAGAACCCCATCACATCCACCATAAAAGCCTTCTTCATGAAGTGTTCCTTGATTTCTCCTCCCCTCCAGTCATAACGAGTATATCCTTCCTGTGAAATCTCAACTTTTTTGTATAGACCTCCCAGTGTGTCATAGTGTAATTTCACAGGCTCATATATTTGGCACCAGAAGAGCCTTTTAAGAACGTTTAGTTCATGGGAAATAAGATATACAGGTAATGGGGCATAGAAATCTGTCCTGCCCTACAGGAAAAAAGAAAGGGAAGGGGATATGAGGAGGGGGGGTGATAGAAGGGAGGGCAGATTGGGGGAAGGGGTATTCAGAATGCACACTGTCTTGTGGAAGTGAATGTTGAAAACTAAAAAGAAATCAATTAATAATAATAAAAAAGATCTAGTTCAACTCTCCCATTTCACAGATGAGGTCACTGAAGCCCATGGAACCAAGTGACTTCTCAAGATCACAGAGGTAGTAAGTGTCAGAGGCAGGTGAGATTTGAACCCAAGTCCTCTGAATCCAAATCCAACCCTCTTAAAGAAAAATCATTGGCTCCGGAATCAGAAGACCTGGGTTCAAATCCCACCCCTGCTGCTTGCTACCTGTGTGACCTTGGCTGGTCACTTACCCCTCCTTAGGCCTCCCTTTCCTTAACTGTGAAATGAATAGAGTTGGACTGGATGGGCTTTGAGGGTCCTTCCAGCTGTAGAAGGTGGTTTGTGGAACGTTAGAATGTGGAAGGTCTTTGGAGCCTTCCCCTTCAATCGGCAGATGAAGCCACGAGAGGGAGGGTGGTGAGAGGGGAGAGGACATGCCCAGGCTTGCAGGGCCTTGGAGACAGGGTGGACATTATGATTTATTCTGATGACCGGGACCCTGACAGGATCCTTCTGGAGAATTGGAAGAGTTCGAAATAGTGTCATTTGCTAATTGCCGCTTCTTTTCCCTTGTAATGATCTTTTTGGGGTTTTTTTGCAAGGCAATCGGGGTTAAGTGACTTGCCCAGAGTCACACAGCCACTAAGTGTCACATGTCTGAGGCCAGATTTGAGACTCTAGGGCTGGTGCTCTATCCACTGTGCCACCTAGCTGCATACCTCCTCCCCCCAGTGAAATGTGACACTTTGCATCAAAGAATTGCTTTGCTTATGTTTGTAAACTCAAGGGAGAGTTGGAGCTGACCCAGAAGTCACCTGTTTGTGTTTCTTACCCCGCCCCCCCCCGTAATGTCAAGCTCCATGAGGGCAGATATTAGATTTTCTTCAGACTTGTTATTTTCCCTAAAGGCTCAGGCTTTGCTTAATCCATGTTTGTTGAATTACACAGAATTCTCTGAGCACAACAGGGAGAACATTATTCTCCCCATTTTATAAATAAGGAAACTGAGACTCTAGCGTTTGGTGACTCGCAGCTGTATTCGTCTTTGGCTCTCCCCTTGCCACGCAGCATAAGACTTCTGAGGGCAGGGCCCTTGTCTTGGTCATCTTTGTTCACAGGTGGTTGGTAAGTTTTCTATTCACTCTTAGAGGCAGGGTGTTGTAGGAAGCTGACCTTGTAGTCAGGAAAACCTGGGTTCTTGTCCACCTCTGACACATACAGATTACATGACCCAGGCTAATCAATTTAACTAATTGACTTCAAATCAGTGCCTTTCTCAGCACCCCAGGGAATCCCCAAACTAAGAGCCTTTGCAAATTTCCATTGATAAAGGGAGCTTTGTCACTGGCACTTCCCTCTATCAGTGAAATCCCATGTGTATCTCTCCTACCTGTGTAAACTACTGAGGGTAGGGACTGAGTTTTATCTCTTATGTCTCTTTGTGCAGCCCTGAATCAATAATGTTCATCTTTTTTGAGTGAGTGAATGAAAATTCCCCTTCCTTCCTTTGCCCAGGATTTTGAGTCTCTAAACTGGACCTGGCCTCCCAGCTGGACTAAGAGAATATGCTGAGGGTCCAAGATCTACAGGACATTGACAGCACAGGGGCCAGGAGAGGGCCCTGCTTTGGTGAGTGCAGGAAGAGATTCAGATTGGCAGGGGAAGCTTCGTTCCTCTCGCTGGCCCAGGTCAGAACACTCCTCCCCTGCTCTGTCACCTGTTCCCTGACTGATCTCCTAGACTGGAGGAGGGAGAGGCTTGAGGCCAGAAAACTGCCTTCAGCACTTCGTCTTGGTGTGACCCATAGGATTAAAGAGTTGAAAGCGACCTTAGACTTCTCTGCTTGACTAAAGGGGAAGCCACCCGCTCTTGAGGCAGGCCATTCCAGACAGAGAAGGTTGTCAAGGTCTCTGGCCTAAATCTCCTTTGTAACATCCCCCATTGCTTTTGCCTTCCAGGGAAAAACAGAACAAATCTCAGTGCTCCTCAAAGCCTGCTCTTGCGCTCCCCCAAGACTAAGTAGAGGCATGCTAAGTATTCCCATTCGTCAACTGATCCTTGCATGCCTTGGGCTGTGGTCTCCCCATCCTGGCTCTCTTCCTCTGAACATGCTGCAGCTTATCCTGTTGTCTCTGCCTGGTGAAAGGTTTTTTTCTTTAATAAAACATCCTCTGAACCCTCCCTTTCCTCAGCTGAAAGTCCTCTCCTTAGATCCTCCTGGCCCACTTTGTCTGTGTCTCATCTTTGCCCACATCACATTCTCCCTTTATCAGATGGATTTGTAAATATTTTTGTATTCTCATCCTAGAGTGTAAGCTCCTTGAGGGGAGGAACTATCTTTGTCATCTTTTTATCCCTGCTCAGTGCCTGGCACACAGTAGGTGCTAAGCATTTGTTGCTGACCGACCCTATTCCTTTCTTTCTTTTTAACTTTTCTCCCCCCGTATTGAGACTGCATGGAGTACATGTTCCTAGACAAGTCATGATACCGCCCTGAGATGATGTCTAGGCCTTAGTTTAAAGCTTGCAAAATACCGGACATGTTATTTCATTAATGTTCTACAACCAACCTGGTGAGGTGGGCATTAGCCGCAGTTAACGGATGAGGAGACAGACTCCGAGACGCCACACAGGTAACACATAGCTGCTATGAGACCTCTGCAGGTGCCATTGGAATGGGGACTGTTGTTAGTGGGCATTCACTTCTGCAGAGAGAGAAGTTGAGGAGCTCTATTCACCCAGGCTTCCAAGTTAGGATGCTTTTGTTTGCTTGTTTGGGGAGGCGATCGCGGTTAAGTGCCTTGCCCAGGGTCCCACAGCTAGTAAGTGTCAAGTGTCTGAGGTCACATTTGAACTCAGATCCTCCTGACTCCAGGGCCAGTGCCCTATCCAACCACTGAATTAAGATGTCAAACAAGTCTGAGTCAACAAGCTGAGCACAGCTAATCTGGAAAACGATTCTGAAAAACTACAATATACTTTACAAGACCAGAAAATGCCTGGAATGTTGGAACTCAACACTTTTTATTAAGTGCTCTTTTCTTAGACAGTTAAGAGACATACGGAAGGTTACAAAGACGTTGGTCCAGCACCCACAGAGAGTTGCCAAATCTCCGGAGGCTCAGATGCCAACTCATCTCTACACTGGGAGGCCATGTGCGCTTCATACCTCTCCCATCCACTGGCACTTCAACAGTAAGGACGTTCTTCAGGCCATTTTTCCTGCCCCTCTTCTTCTGATGCATGACCCTCCCATACCTTAGTACGTTTAATGAGCTGCTATAGTCACTCGAACACGAGAGAACACACAAACACACACACCCCCCTTGTTGGCTAACCCTCTCTAACCTGAGGTCATCATCATGTATTACAGTTCTCTGTGTTATATGCCATATCTCCCTATGATCATGTAAGTGCCAAATCCTAATTTAGAATCTCTCGTGCCTAGAACTGTTCTGTACACGTTAGATGCTTAACAAATGTTTGTTTAATGAACAGACTCTAATCCCATAAGATCCTAGGTCTAGAGGCCACCACATCTAACACCCTCATTTTGCAGATGAGGAAACTGAGGCTGACAGGACTGAAATGCCTTGCCCAGGGCCACCGAGCTAGTAAGTCAGGATTTCAATTTGTCTTCCCAACCCCAAATGTAAAAAAGCCACATATCTGATGGAATAACTCACAATGTATATGTGTATAGACTAGAGCTGGAAGACCCAGGTTCAAGTCCATTTCAAACATTGTGGCTGTGACCTTGGATAAATCAATTAATCTCTCAGTGATTTAGGCAACTCTAACATTTAGTAAATTGCAGAGAAGGTGCTATTGTGTTTCAGTAGAGGGAGTTTACTCACCTGGGAGTCCCCTATACCACTGAAATCAAAAGTTCAGTCCTTATCTCTATTCATTAAGTTTATGGGATTATTCTCTAATATGAATTCTTTGATGTCTAATAAGGTTTGAACTCCCACTAAAAGCTTTTCCACAGGCATTACATTCAAAAGGTTTTTCTCCACTATGAATTCTCTGGTGCTTAATGAGGTCAGAACTTCTCCTAAAGGCTTTCTCACATTCATTACATTTATAAGGTTTCTCCCCACTATGAATTCTCTGATGTTGAATAAGATCTGAACTCCACCTAAATGCCTTCCCACATTCATGACATCCATAAGGTTTCTCCCCACTGTGAATTCTCTGATGGTCAATCAGGACTGAGCTGGCCCTGAAGGCTTTCCCACATTCAGGACACTCGTGGGGTTTCTCTCCTCTGTGAATTCTTTCGTGCTCAATCAGAGCTGAGCTCCCTCTGAAAGCTCTTCCACATTCATGACAACCATAAGGTTTTCCTTCAGTATGAATTCTCTGATGCCGAATAAGGTATGCGTTCCTTCTGAAAGCTTTCCCACATTTGATACACTCGTAGGGCTTTTCTCCACTGTGTATTCTCTGATGGTTGATAAAGGTTGAAATCAATCTGAATGCTTTTCCACATTCATGGCACTCATAAGGTTTCTCTCCACTGTGTATTCTCTGATGCTGGATTAGATCTGAACTAGCCCTAAAGGCTTTCTCACATTCATTACATCCATAGGGTTTTTCCCCTGTGTGAATTCTCTGGTGTCGAATTAGGTGAGATCTGCCCCTAAAGTCTTTTCCACATTCAAAGCACTTGTATGGTTTCTCTCCACTGTGAATTCTCTGATGCTGAATAAGGTATGAACTCCACCTAAAATCTTTGCCACATTCATGACATTTGTAGGGTTTTTCTCCTCTGTGAATTCTCTGATGTTCCAGAAGGGCTGAGCTACCACGGAAGGCTTTGCCACATTCACTACATTCATAGGGCTTCTCTCCACTATGAATCCTACGATGCTTAATAAGGTCTGAGCTTCCCCTGAAAGTCTTCCCACATTCATTACATTCATAGGGCTTTTCTCCACTATGAATTCTCTTATGATTAATAAAGCTGGATCTCTGCCTGAAGGCTTTGCCACATTCGGTACACTTATAGGGTCTCTCTCCAGTATGAATTCTCCGATGGTTAATAAAGCTTGAATTTTGCATGAAGGCTTTCCCACATTCAAGACATACATAGGGTTTCTCTCCACTGTGAATTCTAAGATGGTCAATGAGGCTGGATCTCCCTCGGAAGGCTTTCCCACACTCTTTACATTCATAGGACTTCTTCACACTTGGGAGTCTCTGATTTTTTCTAAATTCTGACTTTTGTTTAAAGCTCGGGTCACATGGATCATAAGTGTGAGCTTTCTCTTCCACAGCCTCTCTCTGAAATGTCAGCTCAGTTTTTAAGCCTGGGCCATTGCTGCCCTCCCAGGCTCTCTGACCAGTGGTCACCTGACTGCCCCCTCCCTCTTCCATGTTTGTGCCTGCTGGGCCTTCCTTCGGGCTCTCTAAGCTGCCCTCACGTGCAGAGGCTTCTTCTGAGTCAGGGGCCCGGAGAATGGGGAACATACTTGTCTGAGTGTCAAATCCTGCACACATCTTCTGCTTGTCAGCTGTGTCACCTGAAATGTAAAATGAAAGCCGAATGACCTCAGAATCACCCTGAGAGGATCTCCACCCCCAAGTTCTTGCCTCTTGTCCCTTCTGGGTCCTCCCAGCCCCCGGAGCCCTGGACAGAATGGCCCTTTCCTTTGATCCCCATAGCCCTTTGGTCATGAGGAGAGGGAAGAGAAAGTGAAAGCTCTGTGATGATGACTAGGGGGCCTGCAGTCAAAGTGACCTCAGACAGGTGCTAGCTGTGTGACCCTCCATGCTTCATTATCCTTACCTGTAAAATAAGGATAACAAGAATAGTACCTCCCTCCCAGGATTATTGTGCGGATCAAACGAGATCATATTTGCAAAGTGCTTGGCACAGTGCTGGGCACATATTAAGTGCTATATAAATGTTAGCTATTACCATTCTTATTATTATGACAGAGAAATAAAGAAGTTAGGCAAGATTTGGGAGGTGAAACTGGCTTCACTACCTTCTTGGGGACTAAACTGAAAGGGATTTCCTCCAATTGCCAATTCATTCATTCAAGAAGTACTTATAGGGGCAGCTAGGTGGCATAGTAGATAGAGCACCGGCCCTGAAGTCAGGAGGAACTGAGTTCAAATCTGGCCTCAGACCAAACATTTGACACTTGCTAGCTGTGTGACCCTGGGCAAGTCACTTAACCCCAATTGCCTTTAAAAAAAAAGTACTTATTAAGCACCTACTGTGTGCAGACCACTGTGTGTGCTAGGAAAGACACAAAGTTTAGATAAGACACAGACCCTGCCTTCCTGGAGCTTAAAGTCCTATCAGAGGCTAAGACAACACAGCTCTCTATAATAAAACACCTCATAGATACCTGCATCTGAGGCACCACGTTTTGGTAAAAGACACTGACAAACTGGGAAGCTGACTGGTAAAATGCAAAGTCCCTGTAGGCCTCAGTTTCCTCACCTATAAAACGAGAGGACTGGATGAGATGGCTTTTATAAGATCTCTTTCAGTTTTTAATCTATAATATTGTGATATCCTGGAAAGCAGCCAGGATGGAAATGGAGGTGGGATCCTCATCTTATTAGTTCAAATAGCTGCCTTCTGAAGGGCTGTTACAAGAAAGATGGCTTCTGAATGGCCCCAGGCAAAACACTAGAAGCGACGTGCAGAAATTACAGAGATGCAGATTTCTACCACTGGAGATATTCCAGGGAAGGCTAAGGGAGAGCCACGGAGGTTGTAGCAAATTGCACTAACCTCTGAGTTCCCTTGTAGCTCTGGGTTTCTGTGATTTTATTAGCCCAAGTGAGGGTCTCTAAACGGTCGCAGTGTTAGCACAGAGGAGTCGTGGGGAAGAGCAGAGCACCAAGAAGTGGGGAAATTAGGAATGGCCTCTTGTAGGCCTTGGAGAGAGGGAATGAACAACGGAGAAGAGAGAAGGGATAGTCGGGGTGGGCAGCAGCAGCCTCCATCTACTTCTCCAGGCCTGGCCTCTCTGCTGTCCTCTGGTCTCTCATCTCCAACTGCCTGATGGACATCTCAAACCAGGCTTCCTGAACATGTGAAACTCACCCTGTCCAAAACTGAACTCGTGATCTCCCCCTAACCCCCAGCCCTCACATGCTAGATGGGCATTTCCATCACTGCATCCCTGGTCTGCACAGCTGGTGAAGGGGGCCAGATCTTTCTTCAGGAGGGGGGAGGGCTGTTGGACCCCATCTCCCTTCGTTCTCTTCCTCTGCCCCCCGGTTTTCATCATCACTGGCACACGCTGCATAAAGCACAGACTCCCCCTTTTCTCATGCAGAACTAGGTATGCCCCTCGAGGGCCATGGCCAAACCACGCCCCCTACACTCAGGCCCTCTTTCTTCTCCTTCTTCTCTTCCTTCTGGGGCACTGGGCTCTGTCTGGTGACCTTTTCCACCATCTTTGCCTAAAACAAGACCCCACACCACAAAAGGTAAAAGCCTTCCCCAAAGGACCCTTGTCCCGCCCCCTCCTCTTCACCTCTAGCTTATTGTACATGTTGTCTTCCCCCACTGGAATGGAAGCTCTGTGAGGGCAGGGGTTGCCTTGCTTGTATTTGTATTCTCAGCATTTTGCACACTGCCTGGTGCACAGGAAGTGCTTAATAAATGCTGTGATTTATTCACTCATTTTCCCGCCAGACAGCTGGTGCTTTTTTTTTCCATACTCACCTTGGCAGGGGTCTCTCAGGACTTCCTTGTTCTCTTTCTCCCAGAGGGCACAGATTCAGAACATTTCTTCTCACACCAAAATAGGGTGTCAGGTGCCATTTGGAACCTGGGAATTTTGCTAAAAAGGCAGTGGGACAGAAGAGTGTTCATAAGAACAATACTTAGCTTTTTGGAGGGCTCATTGTGCATTCTGCCATGAATGTCCCCCAGCGCTGCATCACAGTTCCAATGTGGCTCTGGGCTCCTGAGGGGAAGGATAAACAGGCTGTCGTCAGAGTCACACCCTAGCTATGGTAAGAGAGCATGACAAAGTGGGCCCCAGAGGGGATCCCTCCAGCACTGGACCTTAGGGCCAAAAGGAGACCTGTCCAGTGGGTTCTGAATGGTTCACGAACATATGGGGCTACATTTGCTCTACAGTGCCTCACCTTAGTTGCAGAACTGTCTAGACAGGGTGAGACTGACTGCTCCCACCATTCCTAGGGACACTACCCCACATGGTCCTTTGTTCTGCTCAGCTAAGGCCCATATCTGGCCTCCTGACTGTTCCTCACACACAACTCCATCTCCCCTCCCCTGCCTTTGCACTGGTTGTCCCCCCGCCCCGGCATGCCGTTCCTCCTCACCTCAGCCTCCTAGCTCTCTTGGTTGCTTTCAGGGCTCAGCTAAATTGCCACCTTCTTTCTTCAGGAGGCTACCCCTGCCCCCCAGCTTCTAGTGCCTTACCCCACCCTCGGTCACCTTGCATGGTGCTGGGTATACCCGTGTATGTACAAGTCGTCTCCCCCATTACAGGGCAGGGATCATACCACCAGCACCAGGAACAGTGCCTGGCACACAGTAGGGTTAGGCACTTAACAAATGCTTGTTGACTGAGTGAATGGCAAGTTCTCGGGCCAAGTTGTAGAAGGGTTGAGACCTGCTTCAGTGGAGGGTGTACTCACACAGAAGAAAAATCCCAAGGTCTCCCATATCTGACCCCTTCTGCTCTCTCCTCCCAGCCGCCCCTCCCCCCCAGTTCAGGCCCTCAATGCCTTTCACTTCCATTACTGCAGCAGCCTCCCCAGTGGCTCCCATTGCCTCTAGGATAAAATAAAAAAATAATATCAGTCATTTTTCAGTTGTGTTCAACTCTCTGTGACCCCTTTTGGAGTCTTCTTGGCAGAGGTACTGGAGTGGTTTGCCATTTCCTTGTCTAGCTCATTTTATAGATGAGGAAACTGAGGCAAACAGGGTGAAGTGACTTGCCCAGGGTCACTTGGCTCATAATGTCTGAGGCCAGATTTGAACTCATGAAGGTGAGTCTTCCTGATTCCACGTGCTCCATCCACTGCATTGCCACCTGGGTGCCCCAATCCCTCTAAGATTACCTCTGGTTTATCCTGTCTTTATCTTGTTTGTACCTAGGTGTTTGCTTCTTGTCTGCCCCATTAGATTGTGAGCTCCCTGAGGGCAGGGACTGGTCTCTTGCCTTGCTTTGTATCCCCAGTGCTAAGCACAGTGCCTGACACTAGGTACTTGATAAATGCCCTCCAATGATTCCCACAAAACTATGGAATCTCGAATTTGGAAGGCACTTCAGGCATTCACTTAGTCCCACCCATACCCAAATTTGAACAAAATTTCCCTCTACAACAACTGGTCAAGGAAGATTTTTCTGGAGATCCCCAAGGAGGGGAGGCCGTCCCTTCATTTCTGGCGAGCTTTAACCATTAGGCAGTTTTTCCGTGCATCTGCTTCGAAGCATCTTCCCCATACCCCCCACCCCCACTGCTTCTCCTGGTTTCACCCTCGGCCAAGGAGAACAAGCCCTCCTTCACATGGCAGCCCTTCAAATATCTGAAGACAACGACGATGTCTCCCTTCCCCCAACTCTTTGCCCAGATTTCTTAACCAGTCCCCATATGTCATGATTTGGAAACATTTCCCCAAGGTCCTTCCTCTTGTCCCCAGTCCTGCACAGTATGCTTCTTGAGGCAGCCCAGGATTTCGTCAGTTATTCTCACATTGTGTTCGCTAAACTCCCAGATGTTTTCCAGATGAACTACTTGCTAGACATACACACACACACATCTGGAACTTGTTGAGGTGATTTTTCTGAAGCCCTGTGTAAGAATCTACATTTATCCCTACTGAATTTCATCTCAGAGAGGCCTAGAAGATGGTGGGCTGGCCTCCAAGTCCGGACGACTGAGGTCCAAGTCCAGCCTTGGATACCTCCTGGCTGTGGGAACAAATCACCACCTCCCAGTGCTCTAAGACTCCACTGCACACAAGGTGCCAACCTGCACTGGAAGAAGAAATTTTCTTTTCACCAAGAGTTCTCTATACCAATATAATCACAGGTTCAAACCAAACATCTAGCCCATCAAAATCTTTTTGGATTGAGCCTCTTTCATCCACAGTGTTTGCCATTTCTCCTAGTTTTGTATCATACACAAATTTGACATACATATAGATATGCTTAATTCAAGTCACTGGTAAAAAT